TAAACGGTCAAGAGCTTCTTTCTTCTTTGCCCAAGATCTGTGTCTGTTAATTTACATCAATAATTTTAGTACATCTAATTCATGTTGGAATTGATTAGCTAACTGCCTATCATTATCAGCTTCTTCCGCCACTGCTTCGTCTGGTTCTTCTTGTTCACGACGCCACTCTCCTACAATATTTGCATTATTGGTGCGACGACCAATATTACGACGTGGCCTTTGAGGCATGCTCAAAACAAATATAGCAAAACTGTTACTTCCATTTATAAACTGTTACATTCCAACTTTAACCTAAGATGAAAGTAAACATTGAAATCTAAACAAAACAGTTACAAACAGTTAACATATGTTTATCTTATTTAAATGAAACGAGATAAACCCATATGTCATGAAACCAATATAATTTTTCTTTCAACTTACATTAAAATAACAAGCGAAATTGCGTGACCCGTAAAATAAAATCCAGAAGGAAATTTGCGAATATTTTTACCAAAACATAGTGCTCAGTATTCTTTAGTTGTTGGCCAAATTTTTATATCAATTGGTCAAGCCATTACACTCTGATTCTCTTACAAATAAGTTACAAAGTGAGGGAAATTGAGCTTCGCTCAATTATTTTGGGCTCAAAATAACAGCAAGGTAAAATAATGACAGTCGGTCAAAGATAAAAAAATGTCCTGTATTTGAGCAAGACAACAGTCCTTTAGCTTATTTAAATTACAAAATTGCAGTATACAGTAGACCCGTCTTACCCGACCCTAATGGGACCGGACCTAAGTCGGATAACGCAAAATGTTGGTTAAAACTGGCAATCCCATTATTTCGAAGCTGTAATTACATTATGAATATCAATGAATACAATGAATTTATTTGGCCAATCAACAACAACATTGTTACAGGCTATGTCAATGTACAAGCATGATGTACAAGCATAAAATAAAATAAATATCAAGACTTAAAAATCAAACCAAGCAAAAATCTATCAAAACCAACCATGTGAAAAAAAATATGTTCAAGACCATGCACAAAAATATACAAACAAATGCAGTTCATGCAAAATGCATGCACTATGCAAAAACAGCAAACAGGCGGTTCAGAGGAAAACTTAACTAAATACAGTTTCAAAAAACTCTTTGAATTTGAAAAAAGGATTTTCTATCAGCCAATCAAATATTGCGGTTTGGAAGTTCTTTCTTTCCAGATTTCTCACATGACCAGGAAGTGACCTCGCCTTTTATCAGTCCTGGACCGAGGAATGACAAGCTTAGAACTAAACCTAGTGTCATGATTGTGCACTGAACTGGTTACATGTAAATCATTCATGCTGTTCTTAATACTAACAAGGCATTGGAATATTTACATATTTACAACTGTCAGGATTCTTTGTCTCTTAAAAAAGGGCTTACTGTGTTCTTTATAGTGAGCATGACAGAGAATCCTTACTGCCTTCTTTTGCAGTCGCAGGATCTTTTCGACATTGGGTGAATGGCCCCACAAAATTAACCCATAGGATATGTGAGGTTGGAAAAATGCAAAGAAGGACATTCTAAGGGTACTCTGTGGCAATTGGTCACTTAGACGTCTTAAAAGATGTACTACTCTACTTAGTTTAGTACAGACTTCGCTTATGTGGTCTTTCCAATTGAGACAGGGGTCAAGGGTTATACCAAGGAGTTTGACAGGCTCTTGGAAAGGAACAATCTGGGAATCACATAGGCTAAATGTTATGCACTGTGTTTTCTCATTATTGAGCACTAATTTATTGTCAACAAACCAATTTGAGGCTGACTCAAAAATCTTCTTAACAGACAGCTCTGCTTGTTCACGGGTCGCTTTACATGATATAAGGGAAGTATCATCTGCATAAAACATGCAATTACCTTCAAGTCTGGTATAGAGGTCATTGATTGTTACTAAAAATAACAGAGGTCCCATAATGGAACCTTGCGGAACCCCGTGTCTTACAGCTAATGGTTTAGATGTAATACCATTCCAACTTACATCCTGTTGGCGATCACTGAGGTAGGATTTGACCAATCTCAGAGCACTGCCTTCTAGGCCATATTTTCCCAATTTCAGGAGCAAAATTTCATGTGACACGCAATCAAAAGCGCGAGAGTGGTCACAAAGTATTACGGAGGTAGATTTCTTAGACTCAAAAGCATCAACAATTAATTGTACAATAGAATCAAAAGCCAATATAGTGGATTTGGCTTTCCTGAAGCCAAATTGACCAGGCACCAGAAGGCTGTGTGCTTCAAGGTGGTCGTACAATTGAGCAAACATAATAGCTTCAAACAGTTTAGAAAATACAGGAATCAACGATATTGGTCGATAACTTGCAACATTGTCACGGGACCCTTTTTTATAGACAGGCACAGTTCTAGAGACTTTTAATGGAGCAGGAAAAATACCTACTAAAAAGCATACATTAACCAAATGGGCTAGTATAGGTGCCAGTGCCCACACAATGTGTTTCAAAAGATTATGTGTCATGCCATACACATCTTTGAGTTTAAAGCCCATTACAGCATTAATAATGTCTTGGACCGATACATGTTTCCATTCAAAAGTAGGTGCACCATCATGTATGCTTGACAGGATCACAGGAGAGGATTGCGTTATTATTTATATAGTAAACTACACTTACCCCCTTTGTTTGAATTGATAGAAAAATCACAAATAAACACAAAACACGGTTAAGTCAAATACTTTAAGTGGTATAAATTATACTTGAAGGCAAGAGTCAATAGAAAAAGCTTATTTTAATAACTTTGGTACTCTAGGCTAATATTACAGCCAGATATATTACCTAAGCCTAATATTACAGAGAGTGGGGGTAATGGCGGACGTGATCGACGTTACTGTGTGCCCGGTCTGTAAAAATAAATGTAAAGACGAGGATAAATCGCTATTGTGTGATGGTTATTGCGGAATTTGGCATCATGCAAGTTGTGTGAGGATTACAGTTAAAAAAATCAACGACATTCGCAAAGTTAAAGAGAGTGTCAGCTGGTTTTGTGCCGACTGTGACCTGAAGATAAAGGACCATATTGCTGAAACTAAAATCGTAACTGTGAGACGAGGTGAGCTTAATCTAATTGAAGGAAGCATTGATAAATTAGAAGCAAATTTGACTAGAAAATTAAACTTGTTGTTTAATCAGAGTATCAAAACCAATGTTGGAATCAAGAAGCTTTTGTCTCTAAATTATGTAAAGGAAAATTCTGAAAACAAGGCAGACATCTTGGATATTGATAACAGTTTAAGCATAACCAACGAAAGTGAACCTGTTGCAACAAACACAAGTGAATCAAACCAACAAAAATCCCCATTGGTTGAGAGGATAGCTAACGAAATACAAGAGGCAGCTGAGGGTGTTCAAATTGAATCCGAAGTGTTCACAGCAGAAAAAAGGTGCAGTCGCAGTCAGGCCAAAAAAAGGTTATCGTCTGTGGAGAGAAGGAGAAAAGAAAAGGAAGTAGTTGATGTAAATGAAGAAGAAGACGTGAGCCCAAGCGCAAATGACGACGATAAGAACAAAGATGGTGGCCATGTTTCTAATGCTCAACGAAGTGTAGCGTCAAGTGAAAATAAGCCTCTTAAGACTTACTCAAGTGTTGTAAATAATCTCCCAACTCAAAGAAACCGTATTTCCTCACGGAATATAAATACAGTAGTCCCAAATCAAGTGAAAAATAGGAGGAGTGTCATTATCGGCTCCGGTATAGTAGAGAACAACCTGAAATCAGCGTGCAGAAGATCTCAACTATTTGTCTCTCGTGTGTCCCCTAATACATCGTGTGAAGATTTACTAGCCTACTTGTCACGTAAAGGCATAGCTGACAGAGAGTGTTTGGAATTGAAATCAAGGTTTTTAACGTATAAATCATTTAAAGTGAGTGTTCCAGAGGAGTTTGAAAACGAAGTGCTCGAGCCTAAATTTTGGCCTGCTGGTGTGTTGGTGAGAGAATTCTTGCCAAGTAAAGGACCCCGGAGCCAAAAAAGCCAAAATAGATCTTTTTTAGGCCGAACCATATACAAGACACTGCAAACATAGACCCATCCATTGTCGTTGGTGATTTTAGGCTTGGTAGTAAACTTAGTGTGCCTGAAAAAACAGTTACAAGCCTAACGGAAGTGAAAATTGTATCACTCAACGTTCAATGTCTTAGAAATAAATGTGACCTCATATCTGTCTTTATTGATGAGGTAAGTTGCGATTTTTTGTGTATTGCTGAACATTGGTTAGAGGACAGTGAACATGATTTTTATAGGACTATGAATAACCTAACACTTGTAAATATCTACTGCCGTAAAACTCATAAAAACGGTGGCACTGCTATCTATGCATCTAACATTTTCAGGCCTAACTGTAAACCAATAGACTTAAGTGATTTTTGTGAAGAACTTGTTTTTGAAGCCACGGCTATAGAAATATTAAGTACTAAGACAATATTGTTGTCAGTCTACAGATCTCCTGCCAGTGACTTTAGAGTTTTCCTTTCCCAACTTGAACTGTGTCTCGATCACATATCTAAATCTGACAAAAACAGCATAGTTATCTGTGGCGACTTTAATGTGCACTTAGAGAAACCCTCACCCGAGGAGTTTGCCTTTGTGAATCTTCTTCGCAGCTTTGGACTTTACATTCCCACGAGGCTTCCAACACGAGGGGAGGCTTGTCTGGATGCTGTAGCAACCAATTACAACTCTTGGGACATTGAGGCGGAGGTGGTAAGGCCTCATATTGCTGACCACGACGGTGCGGTGGTACTCACAGTCAAGACTACTAAGGTAAGCCCTTCCTCCTCATGGATAGACAAATACTCTGTTGTTAAGCGAACAATAAACATGGATCTGCTTCCCTTGCTTAGGAGTGAATTATCTGCTATAAACTGGAACTTCCTGAAAGCAATTTCTGACCCCAAACTTGCTTTTGCAGCTTTTACTGAGACTTTTTGTGATAAATTTAACAATGTATTTCCACCTAAAATTAGTCGGCCCAAGCCAATGTCTAGTTCTCCCGGTAAAAACCACAAAGGCACCAAAGGTTCAAAGGATTGGTACACCCCTGACCTGGGTAGGCTACGACAGCTCATGCTACTTGTTCATGATCATTTTAAGGGCGCAACAGATGACAATATCAGGCAGAGATATTACTTACTTTACTGTAGAATTAAGTGTGACTATGGTGTTAAGGTCAGGGATGCAAAGAGGAAGTTTAATGCAGATAAAATCCTCAACGCTCCCAACCCTTGCAAGGCTGCATGGGACATTGTGAATGATTGCAGGTCTCCTTGTCCTGGCCCTGAAGTTCTGGCCACCCCTGATGATTTCAACACATATTTTCTAAATGTAGCAGATGAACTCATCACAAATATACCCGTGTTGCAGACAGACCCCCTGGATTCGGTTAAGGATCTCACCCAAACACACAACTTTAACTGCTGGACGAAGGTGAGTGTCAATGAAATTATCTCTACCGTTAAGAAATTCAAAGCCTCGGCAAGTCAAGATGTAAATGGAGTGTCAACTAATATCTTAAAATCTGTAATAGACTTAATTGCACCACCCCTCACAGATCTGATCAATCTTTGCCTAGCTAAGGGTATGTTTCCTGATAATTTAAAAATAGCCCGGACGATACCCATCTACAAGAAAGGGGACCCTTCACTCCTGTCCAACTTCAGACCGATATCTATCCTCCCATCTTTCTCCAAGGTGATAGAGACCGTTATGAAGAAACAACTCATAGCCTACTTGGAAGGTAATGCCATTCTGACGGAAGCCCAACACGGATTCAGAGGTAAACACTCGACCACTTCTGCACTTTTAAGCCTTGTTGACGTTATTTCCAGTGCTTTTGAGGAGGGTGAGTCTGTCCTGCTAAGTTTGTGCGACTTGAGCAAGGCATTCGATGTCGTAAACCACAAAATCCTTCTTGATAAACTGAGTAGGTATGGGGTGGGTGGCACAGTCCTTGGCTCACTGACTGAATACCTGAGTGACCGCAAGCAGTATGTTACTCTGAGAGGTGCCTCTTCCAGCGTTGGCAGCATACCTCACGGCGTGCCGCAGGGCTCGGTGCTGGGGCCAGTGCTCTTCACTATCATGATTAATGACCTCTCACTTAACAACCGTACTCTACTGTTTGCTGATGATACTACTCTGTTCTCTAGAGGGAAAGACCTAGAGGATCTCCGTGGAGAAGCTACTGTCCTACTGGAAGAAGCGAAGAGCTGGTTTGCCGTCAATAGGCTCAAGGTGAATGAGAACAAGACACAGACCATCCTGTGTACCCTCAAACCTGTTGTGGAAGATGAGGCTGTGAAACTCCTGGGCTTCTGGCTTGACCCCAGGTTAAATTGGAAGCATCACATAGACAAGGTATGTGTTAGGCTATCTAGAGTTACTTACCTACTAAGAAGACTTCGTTCTACTTTAAGTCAACCCTCTCTGCTGATGGTCTATCACGCCCTCTTCCACAGGCATGTGTCGTACGGCCTTGTCCTATGGGGCCATTCTACAGCAGCCCATGACATCCTACTGCTCCAGAAGAAAGCCATGAGGATAGTGTCATCTGCTGGCTACAAGCAGCACTGCCGCCCTATATTCATCCGGCATAGGGTGCTTACTGTATTCAGCCAGTATATCCTCGACATCCTTGTACTACTCAAGGACAAGGTGGGACTCTTTGGCAGGAGGGAGGAGGTCCACACCCACAATACCCGCAGAGCCCCAGACCTTGACATGCCTCGGTGCCGACTTGCACAGACAATGAGGAGTTACCCGCGTTCGGCAATTAGGGTATTCAACACCTTGCCTAAACGAGTGCGTGACATGGACCTGCCAGACTTTAAGAGGGAGATACGTGAGGGACTGCTGAATAGGCCATTGTACGCCTTGCATGAGTTGGAGAGTGAACCACTTTTTTTAACGTGACACGTCCGCCACAAAAGTAGTAGTAAAAGTATATTTAGACATTTTTTAATGGTTTTATAGTGTTTATATGTAAATAGTAACATGACGCAATCTATCCGACATGTCGGTCAACGATGTAGAAGACAAGTATTCAAGTAAGTATTCAAGTATTAATTTATGATTTAGAAATCTTTCGTAATACAGTACAGAACTTATTGTCGAAATTGAAGAAACTAGACACCATTTTGTTACGACGCACAGGATGATTTATGGCCTCTCACTGGAGGCTCCAGTCACAGAAACTATCTTGACCTTGGAGTTGTTAGCCTTCATCCCCTGCCCTCCATACAAGTTGATTTTTTCGTTTACTCTAGCGATCAGTTACTTAGCTATAAAAACTGTAACACAATCTATGATTTTGCCGCACAAATGACAAATCAGATGTGCTTGTGCTTGATAACAAACTGGCAACATGCAATATTTTTGGGATGAATACCAAAAAAACTATTCTTAGGCACATCCTGTGCCTGTTGAGATAAGCGTGGGAGTGGAAATCCCCGAGATTCCTTAGAAAGTGGTGGTTAAACCAAACTGCTCACGAAGCAAGGTTGGTTAAAAAAAACTGTAATATTTTGGGGGATAATCTGATTATCGGTTAATGCGATGTTGGTTAAGAGGGATTGACTCTATCAGTGAATAGACATGCCTCATTTAACTATTAACAAAATAAATAAGTAATAAAAAAGTTATAATAGAATAGATAGGCCTACAATTGTTGCCTACTACTCTAAGTTTCATAATGTGAATTGTAAAAATGTGTGGGAAGAATTTAAAAACTCGTCATTAAAAATTCAGATATTCAAATGTATGAAACTAGCTAAATTTTTTTAAATAAATGACCTTTTCATTATATGACCAAATCAGTCATAAAACCACTCAGAGTTCATTTTCATACTACTGGATACTGAAGATTTAAATAATAAAATTAGATAAACTTGTTGCCTTGTTTACACAGGTAACACACAACAAGGTAACAAATTTATTCTATTATTATTTATTTTATTATTTATTATTATTTAAAGCTTCAATATCCGGTTGTAGGGAAATGAACTCTGGTCAATTTGTGAGCAAATAAAATATTCCTACGATTACAAAAACTTAAAGTTAAAGTTACTGAACACTATCGAGAACATCAAATTTAACAAACTATGCCTGAAGGACAAAGTTGTGCCTAACTGCGTTAATGTGACCATTAATAACAATAACTCAAAATCAGCACAAATTGCAAAATTAAAAACAGAGACATTATGGATTACAGGAGAAATATATAATCACTTTATGGCAAAAAGACATGATTAATCAGGAACTATATAGAACACCTACTTATCTAGCCAACATTTTAGGTCCTGAGAACACAATAGGTCTAATAGAAAATATTAATGACAAACTGTATAATATAATCAGCAAGAAAAAACAAAGTCAGAAGAACAAATTAACAAAGCTTATCGACAAATACAACAAATTTAACCCTAACAACAATACTGAATGCAAACCTGAGTTTTTCCCAAAACTTTTAAACAAAACTGGCATATTATTTGAAGACAAAGAGACTAACCTTCTGAATAAAGGACTTAACCATTGTCTGCCACCTCCCCCAAACATGAAGAACCTAGTTAACGAAGTCATAAATACAATTATGTATGGTTTTAGTAAATTACAAATTAACCAGATACTGTACATAGTCCCCAAAATTAGACAAAATGCAAAACGTCATAAAAACCAAGACCATCTAATAGCTAGGCTCTCCCAAACGTGAAGAACCTAGTTAACGAAGTCATAAATACCTAGATTTTTAGTAAATGACAAATTAACCAGATACATAGTCCCCAAAATTAGACAAAATGTAAAACGTCATGAAAACCAAAAACAAGACCATCTAATAGCTAAGAATATATAAAAAACTAACTGAGAACCACGCAATAGTAACCAAGATGACAAGGGAAATACAACTGTCATAATGAACGAAAGTGATTATGATATGAAAATAAACCAGTTCATAGCCAAAAACAATATTGAAATTGTAAAAAATTCCCCAACCCCCAAATTTCTTAAAGAAATAAATCCTAACATTAACAGATCGAAACACCTACTTTGTGAAAAAATAAAAAGACAACTCAAAGTAACAGCTCCCTACGCACCAAAATTCAAAGGCTTACCAAAGGTTCACAAGCCAAACATACCCATAGAACCCTTGTAAACTACACGTCAGCACCAGTATATAGAATAGCCAAGAAAATAGACAGAATAATTAGGAAATAGGGTGAGTTTTAAATGAGTTCCCCCCCTAATTTTTCTACATTTCTTAAGATATCAACTCCGGAACACGTCAGATCATTGTGGAGTAGTAATTACTTCATTTTGGCTGGGTATACATTTTTGGCCGCCATCTTGGATTTGCCATATTAGATACAAAGTTTTTTTTTCAAATGTAAAGGTAGGGTTGTGACCACAATTCGTTTAAAAAAGATTATGGGTCATAACACCACCTTATATTTAAAATAATTTATCACATTTCAAAATGGTGGATCCAAGATGGCGGCCGAAAAATATACATCCGTCATAGCCAAGTGAAAATAGGTCAACAATGACTGGTGGTGTTACTTGTCTTTATCCAGCACTATTTTTTGATTAAATGGTCTTGGTTTGTAAATGCACAATGTTAAAATGGGCTAAAAATAAAGTTATAAAAAGTCTTCATAACTTTAGAATGGATCAAGATTTTTTAAAACAAATTGTGGCATTGTAATCAGCGTCAAATTTAATTTGAAATGATGGATCAAAAACCTACCTTTACATTTGAAAACAAAACTTTGTATCCAATATGACGGATCCAAGATGGCGGCCAAAAATTTATACCCAGTCAAAATGAAGTACTTACTACTCCACAATGATCTGACGTAGTCCGGAGTTGATATCTTGAGAAATGTAGAAAAAAGTAGGGGGGAACTCATTTAAAACTCACCCTGTATGTTTTAAGTGTTATAAGATGTTTCTTTTATTTACTTATTGTAAATTTAATAACACGTACAATGCTGATCAAGAAGTAATTTAACTTAGTTAGTAACATTTAACATTGTTTTAATAATTCAGTTATCATTGTTATCTTTCTACTGTTATCTTGTTGAAAACCTTAATTTTTTTGTTAACTCTACACCGCTTTTCTTTGTTAATGTATTGTTAACGAAAGTAGGGAGAGATGCAGAGTTTCATGAGGGGAGCATGGAGGGAGTATGGAGGGAGTATGGAGGGAGTCTGGAGGGAGTCTGGAGGAAGTCTTGAGTTGAGAAAGTGAAAGCGAATTATAAATAATCTGACGTTTGAAGTTAGTCTATGGATTTTGTTTCGGTAAAGTGAACGCTAAAACAATCTTGCAAAAGATTCCAGTTTTCATTGAGTAAAAAAGTAAAAACATTGAACATGGACATAGTTAGATTTTTTATTTTGTATGTTTGTAATATTAGTTTGAATATAAATTATTAATGGCTGTAGTGAGTGCACCAATAGACTGTCCATAACCAGCTGGACAATGATTTGTTTTTTAAATAGTATACATTTTGTTTTTGTTCACTCTAAGTTGCCATAGTTTCCAAATAAGTTCATTCCTGGGTTTTATAATTCATACACTTGTGTTTTGTGTCATGCTTATTTAATTTTATTCTCTGTCAGTTTCTTGAATCGTTTTATTATAAAAGTAACAAAAATGGTTAAAGAAGAACCTACTTCTTCAATTACCAAGGGTTAAACAATATCACCTCTATGAGTTCAATTTTGATTTATTAAAATAATATTTTCTATATGTTCACTCTTACTTAAAAATATATCACCAAAATTATTTATGCAACCAAAATATCGCATGAAGTAAAAAAAAACCTAATGCATTTGAAAAAAGTACTACAGTGTGTGTTATTATGAGATTAATTTACACCCTATCATATAGTAAGAAAAGAGTTTATCAAGCTTTGATACAAATGTATAAAGTGTTATTAATATTTAAACAATTCACATCAAAAGGTAAAGTTCAACAAATACTGTTTATCTTGAAACGCACATATTATTGTTTTGCCGGCTCAAGGACACATTTTTTGTACTAAATGTAACATAAAACAATATTAGCCTACTTGGAATAGAGCAATGTTTTTGAGTTTATTAATTTGTTTATTCTACAATATTATTAAAAGCGCATGGTTTAAACAAACCCATAATGTCTCAGTCCTTATGTGTACTACTAAACATCGGAATCAATCAAGCATTTACTGTAATGTTGCTGCTCTACATGAGGTTTTATGTGTTTTAATATTTGACTTAGAGTTAAATTTTTGGTTTACATCTGTTTGAAAATAAATTATAATTTAAAATTAACTGCAAATATTGCAAATTGAGAAGTTATAAAAACATAATTTTACATACCAGATTAGTTTTAAAAGTTTCAATCAAAAGTTTTAAGTTACTAAGTGAACATTTTTCAATTTGTTGTCCTAATGAAATGTAA